GTGGGCGCGGCCCTGTTTCCTGTCCCTGTTGCCCAGGGCTGCCGTCTCTGTGGCCACCCCAGCTGAAGCCCTAACGGTCGGCCATACACGGTGGCCTGGGTGTCGGTGACTGCTCCAGCCTTCCCACAGTGTCACCGTGCTTTCTCTTTCAACTCGGGGTCATCACACTGCTGTGTCCCAGCTGAAATGTGAAAATTCCTTGAATGCGCTGCTTTTTGTTAAAGCCTGAAGTTCCCGGGGGTGGCAGGATGAGGGGTGGGGGGGGGGGTGAGCTGTTGAACAAAGTATAGTCCTTGGGAGGTGAGCCCCGGGTCTCAGTCAGTCCTACTGGGCATGGTCTGTGGGTGCCGAGATGGATCTGGGCCGATGGTGGTGTTTCCATCAGCTCAGGAACAACTTGGTCCGGCACCTGCACATACAAGCAATTTGGACCCCTGGGTCCCATGAAGGACACAGCCTACTCCTGAGTAGCTCTCTTGGTCTCGGTCTGTGGGCTGGGGGTCCAGTGGGCTGGTCCAGTCCTGCCCATCCTCTCCTCCACCTTTCCCAATGTGAGGTTTCCCTTCCCAAGAGGCCACCCAAGCCCTGCCTCTGAGGGCCGCTGCTGTCCAGCCAGCCTGGATGAGACGGGTCTGAGCCTCTTCTGTCTGGGCTGAGAGTCACCTTGGGAATCTCAGCTCCAGGGCTTGTGGGTCAAGGGGTCTCACCGCACGGCATACCTGCTGCCCATGTGAGCTGGAGGGCTAGGCAGGGCTTGCTCCTGAGCCTCCTTACTCGTAGCGTGGGACCCCTGAAACCACCACTTAGGACTGTCATAGGGTGGAGGGAGACATTGAAACAATTCATGTAGAAATCAGGGTGTGATGCCGCCCTGTCACAGATGCTCTGGGAAGGGCTCTCATCACCCTCACCTTGCACAGGAGGAGATCGCTCACCTGCTTCAGCTGCTGCTGTGAGAGCCCCTCAGGGCTCAGACTGTGGGCCTGGCCAGGCCCTGGGCCCCAAGTCACTCAACAATGACAAGCCAAAATAAAAGATCCTGGCTAGTGAGCAGCAGCCACTCCTGCTACTGTGACCGCGGCCCTGGTGCTATCTCAGGGCTCCACTGTGCCATCTGGATGCCGTCCCCCTGTGCTGTCTGTTTCGGCACTGACTTGCTCTGAAGGGGCAGGCTCCACGCCATGCGTCACGGCCAGGGGCTCCTCCGTGGGCTGTGTCAGAAGTTTCTGAGAGAGGACATCACCAGTGGGAAACAGGAGATGAGAGAACTCGAACAACCTCTTTCCGTTCAAAATATCTTTCTTAAAACATGTTTTTAAATAAAGAGATATCTTAGAAAGGACTTCGCTTTTATCTTAAAGCTAAAGGAAATCAGGTTTACCTAGTTGTGTGAATTATTGGAGGAAGAGAAGAATTGTGGGATCCTTCTAGAGTGTCCATAGTACGTGTCAGTGTCTGTGTGTGTGTGCGTGTGTGAGTCTGCGTGTGCATATGTGTGGGTGTCTCTGTGAGTCTGCATGTGTGTACAGGCATGAATATGTGTATTTCTGTTTGTCTCTCTGTGTGTGTATGTATATGTGTGCATGTGTGGGCTTATGTGTGGGTGTCTGTGTGTGTAGGAATATGTGTGCATGTGTGTGCACATGTCTGTGTATACATCTGTGTGTGTCTGTATGTATATGTGTGCATGTGTGGGCTTATGTGTGGGTGTCTGTGTGTGTATGAATACGTGTGCGTGTGTGTGCACATGTCTGTGTCTGTATGTATATGTGTGCATGTGTGGGCTTACGTGTGGGTGTCTGTGTGTATATGAATGTGTGCATGTGTGGACTTACGTGTGGGTGTCTGTGTATGAATGTGTGTGCATGTGTGGACTTACGTGTGGGTGTCTGTGTGTGTGTGAATGTGTGCATGTGTGGACTTACGTGTGGGTGTCTGTGTGTCTGTATGTATATGTGTGCATGTGTGGGCTTACGTGTGGGTGTCTGTGTATGAATGTGTGTGCATGTGTGTGCATGTGTGTGCACGTGTCTGTGTATACATCTGTGTGTATCTGTGTGCAGTATTCATCTACTCGTGTTTCCTGAGCGTGTGGTTCCTGGGGAAGACTCTCCCATCACACTTACTAAAAGGTCTGGTGATACAGTGTAACCAGAGCGTGAATTGGGGGGATTAACGTCTTGTGTCCGGCGCCCACCATGCTGTTGCAGGCCAGGAGACCACGGCCATCTGATGAACACTTCTTGCTATCACACCACGTCCGCAGCCTGAGCTTGGCAAGGCAGCACTTTGCCTTTCCACCATGGAGGGTCTCAGGACTCCAGAATCAGCTGTGTCTGTGTCCCTAGAAACTCAGCGCAGGGTTATGCAATGACCAGGAACTGGCATCAGAAGCATCTGGCTGTGTGACACGCGCTCAGGGCCAACACTGAACTACAAGATTCGCTTCCTGAACGCAGGGTCAGTGTTTTCATTGATCAGCCAATGTTATTCTGAAGCAAAAGCTGCCCCACTCTCGCTGCCCGGGGGCAGGACAGCCCAGCGGCTCCCAGGGCAGGCTGGTAGGTGTGGCTACTCCCCTGTCCTTAGCCCTGGTCTGGGGGTGACTGAGGAGTTAGTCCTGCGGCTCAGCTTGTAAAAACTGAGGTTTGTGTCACTGTGCAAACTCTTCTGTGTGGCTGACTGGGCTAATGGGAAAAGCACTCCCAGGTGAAACCACCTTTGGCTCCCAGCTCCCAACTCTCAGTTCAGAGAACGGTGAGTTCCCAGTACCAGGGGGTGGAAGCTGATGTCATCGGAAAGGTATTGCCTTGCTTTTAAATCAGCAAGCGTGTCCAAAGTTCTCCAGGACACACACAGATGAAAAATGTGTCTCTGAATAGCTACGGGCAGCTTTTTGAGAAACAAACGTCCCAAAAAAGCCCCCGTGTGTGTCTTCCCCTGGAGAAGACTGCATAGTTGCTCCATGTGTATTATGATCCTATTTTCACTTACAACTTTCCCAGAAGATATTGTTAGGAGTGAAAAGCCAAAATTAGCTCTAGGGCAAGAGTGAATAATTTCAACAGCCACTCGGAGATGGTTTGTATTTCTGGATCCATATATGGGTGAAAGTAACGATTTCAATAGGAAGGGGGGTGAAGGGGGAACGTTTTTGCATGCAACATAGGAAAATGTCTAAACTTTCATCTGTGAAAAAGTTCAAATTCCCAAGTCTTGCTGAGTGAAACTCCAGGTAGTTTTAAAATTTGCTTTCACTAAAAATGTATTGGAAATGAAATGCTGCACTGACTTCCAGGGCTAAGTCAGGAACCGTCGCTCCCACTAATCTCTGTTTACCAGTTGGCTGCCTTTCTCTCCTGACTGTTCCCTTTTCATAACTAAAAACTACTGAATATTTAATTGAATTTCGACGATAATCTTAATAGCATCATTCTCTACATTTACTCCTCAGAGCAATTTCATATTTGCAAATTGCTTCTGCATTCCTTTTAGCTAGTTACATAACTTGCTGCGGCTCAAAGGCTAAAATGAAATTCTTGCCGATGTAAAATGGTTTCACTTCTTTAGCGTAAACACAAATCTGTCATGAAATGGATAGAAAATTATCAAATCATCTCATTTAGATAGGGCCTCATCAATGCTTGCTATTAAGCATCTCTCAGTAGTATTTCCAGAAAACCACGCATGGCTTTGCTCCTGGAACTGGCATGACAATGACTTTCTAAATTATGGCATTTGCTGGCACGCTGTCAGCCGGCTTAATCATCTCAACTGCCAGCTCACACTCCTGACAGCCAGCTCAGGAGCGAGCGAGAGCCCACATTTGGTGTTTTGAAGGAGCTCACAGGGGTCTCTAACATTTAATGATGGAAGGTCATCAATTTCAAAGGAACATTTCAGTGCAGAAGGGCAGCCGGGAAAGGCAAACCGCAGGCAAACACCCTGTGTGCTTCAAACTCTTAGTAAGAAAATCCTCGCGGCAGCAGCAACAGAGGCAGAGCTCAACTGGAGTCAACGCAATGTGAAGAACTGTCCAAAGAATGGCCACAGGGAGAGTCGTTATTATTAAGACTTAAGCAAAAAAATCTGTAAAGTGCTAATGTGTTCTAGGTTGGTTGAAACATGGCAAGCTGGCTGGTCTGCAGGAACTGGGGTAGAAAGTTAGGCTGTAAGATACTTGGGTGTTCTGGGAGCCGGGAAGTGCCCCTGAGGATGTGGGGTGCACACGTGTGGGACTCACCGACTGCCGCTGTAGATACAGAGGAATGCTGTGCCTCTTCACACCAGCTACATACGGTGTCTTTGCATCAGTTTTGCCAAATGTCAAAAAGCATCTATTTGGAGACACCCTCGGAAGAGAAAGGAACAGACTTGAGTAGTGAGGAACATGTTTCTGATCTCAGCCCAGGACCTTCTCTCTGAGAACAGCTCCACCTGCCTTCAGGAAGAAGCCTAGAGTGCAGGTCCCCACCCCAACGTCCCTGTGGGAATCTCGGGGATTTAAATCTTTAACCAGCATATGACCACTGCTCTCCCTGCTACCCACCTGAAGCTTCTGACCCCTCAGTGTCCTTCCACCCACTCCCTGGACTCATCTTCCTTGTGTGGGGGTGACTGTGACTGTGCCTGCGGACGCTGCATCCTTAAAGGCCCTGCTGCCATCTCAGGCCTGCTCCTGAGACCACTGGGCATTTTCCATGCTCAATTATGGGGAGGGGACACATCAAACAGCGTGTTGAAGCCTTGGTTAAAATGTATACGACTTACAGACCACACACTCCCTTGTAAAAAGAAAGATATTTCCTCATATTCTTCAAATTCTAGAAAGAGGCAAAGCATTAAAAAATAGATTATAGCTTTTATAGGAATGTCATAACCTAATTATAGCCTTAGAATATGGGAAGGGGGCGGAAGAGGGAGGGAGAGTGGGAGGTGGATGGGGGGAGGGAGGGAGATTGGTGGGGTCACCTCCATAGTTTATCTTACAAGGGTACAAGTGAATCTTTCTAAAAGCAGAGTATGAATGTCTTAACTCAATAACTAAGAGAATGATATGAAGGTTATGCTAACCAGTTAGATGGGAGTATTTCAAAACGTATATGAAAACAGCACACTGTACCCCATGATTGCATTAATGTACACTGTTATGCTATAAGAAATAAAAATAAATAAATTTCTGGGAATTTTATTTCTTCTCCTTTGCCTAGAAATAATAATGTAGGAATTGGAGTCAGAAGGGCTTTGTGTTTGGACTTTCTTGATAGAGGCGCGTTATGTACCTTTGGAAGTGTGACCGTCTACTTGTTGATAATGCAGACTGGAGTTTGAGCATCTCAAATCCAAAACTGAAATCCAGAATTATCCAAAATCCAAAACTGTCTGGACTCTGACATGACATTGAAAGAAAATGCTCCTTACAAATACTCTAAAGTGTCGTGATCTATTGCAGGAATCAGACACTCAGTTGTGACCCAGCTGTCTGGTTTTCAGTGTTTCCTAGAGCAGATTGAAATTCACTCACCTTCCTAAAAATATCTATGGTTCGGTTAGTTCAACTTAATACACGTAAGCTGTTTGAGCCGCCAGGAAAAGTCTGTGGTCTCTTTAGTTAAATAGAACCAAAATATACTTGGATATAAATTCCTGAACCACAGACACCGTGAGAGAGTGGATGGATCACTGGCTGCTTCAAGCCACTAAGTTTCGAGATGGCTTGTTACACAGAAATAGATATGTCAGGTGGACAGGGAGGTACCGTTCAAAGACAGAGCTGTGGATGGAAATTCTAGGAATTTGCCGTCTCTTTGACTGGGCAGGGAGTTTTTGCACGTGACTTGATCTCACATTCATTAGTGCCAGCATTGCTGGGACGCCTGAGGTGTGTGCTGTGGCGCTGCGCCCTCACGGCCACACTCTGATCACGTGGATCTCTGTGTTTACCTTTCCAGCAGGAGGAGCGTAGTTTTGATTTAGGTGATTTTCACAGTTACGTGTTTCCTGTGTGGTTGAGGACAAAAGGACAAGTTAGTAGTGCCTCTTCAGCCACACATTCGGGCAAAAAATAGAATTATTTTTGCATGAGAGAATTGCAAAGAAGACAGAAGCCACCAGTGTTAGCTATAAATCAGCCAGATACACCTCTCCTCCTAGAAGTGGAAACAGCCCACCCCTGCGAGAGTTCTCTCAGCACTTCCACTTTCTCAGGGCCGTGGAGCCCCCACCCCGTTCCTGATTCTATGTCATTTAGATCGAGTTTCCAGATGGCAGCCAATGGCCATACCAATCCCCAGCCACAACTTGGGGCTACCTCGCTGGGCCTCTTGACCCAAACCCCGTGTCCCAGCTCTGAGTGTACGTGGACGATGGCCTGGGGTCTGTCATGGTCTCTGGGTAGAATGAGGCATTTCAGGGCTTAACCTTTAAGAATTGGTTCAGATAATCACACTTGTTCAGTAGAGAATAATCGGAAAATGTGGTGAACAAAGGGAAGATGACACCCAGGCCCGTAATCATGTCACCTGACGGTAACGGGTGTTCAGGCTGCACCTGGCTGGGGAAGGAGAGGCCGGACCCCTGTGGCCTTGAGGCTGCTGGGAAGGGGGCGTCATGCTCCCCCCAGCAGAGGACGTGGGAAAGAGCCAATGGGAACAATGACTGCTGTGTCATGCAGCCTGTAGAGCCGGGTGGGCCTCCCCAGTCTAACTTGATCTGTTCACACAGCCAGAGACCAGTTCTGCATGGGCACATCTTCAGCGTCTAAAACAGAACAGTGTCTGCTACAGAGCTGACAGCCTGCTTCATTTCTCATAAGAATGCATCATGTATGTGATGTATACCATGAGCTAAATATCTATTTCTCTGATGGTAATGGCTGTGACAAACCATTGTATCCATATAGACTCGGTCTACACTGAATATCTTCATTACTAACAGATTAGAAGTGCTGTACATTGGGGCATAGAAATAGGACACTTTTTTTTTTTGGAGACAGAGTCTCATTTGGTCACCCTGGGTAGAGTGCCATGGTGTCATCATAGCTCACAGCAACCTCAAACTCTTGGTCTTGAGCAATCCTCTTGCTTCAGCCTCCCGAGAAGCTGCTACATAGGCACCTACCACAACACCCATCTACTGATTCTATTTTTAATAGAGATGGGGTCTCATTCTTGCTCAGGTTGGTCTCAAAATCATGAGCTCAAGGGACCCTCCTGCCTCAGTCTCCCAGGTTGCTGGGATTACAGAATGAGCCACTGTACCCAATTGAAAATTGGACACTTTAATTTACCTTCTCAAAAAGTTACATCCATTTGCATTCACATGGACACACAGGATTGACTTTATAGATCCGCCGGCATTTGACTGTTTGGTGTCTGTCCCGAGACTCACGCAATTGCAGGAGGGTACACACGTCGGCACTTGGGGTCCTCTGGTGACTCACGAGGTTAGACAGAAACTGTTACTGTTGAAATTAGAAGAAGGTCCAGTCTCATCTGTTGTCATCTCCACCTCATGTGTGAGGGAAACCAAGACTCAGAGAAGTTAGAGAAATCTTCCCCAAATCACGGAGCTGGCAAATTCCAAAGCCAGAATCCAAGCTTTTAGTGCTGACGCCCACACCCCGGAGACAGACCTCCACTTCACCCCCCCACCCCGTCGCCTCTGTGTCTGGTGGTTTGCTGCCCCCCCCACTTGCTTTTATTACTATGATAACTCCTCCCACTCAATTACATCCGTGGTCAGATTCACTTGAACACTGTAAGCACAATGATTAGATTCATTTTTCATGCACAGAATTTCAGAGGCTTCTGAATGCAAATACTTTGCAATGTTCCAGAAGAAGTTAAATCCATAGAATATTTCTTGATGCGTTTTTTGGTATAGAATATTTTAGGTATGGGTTGGGTATGGTGACTCATGCCTGTAATCCCAGCACTAGGGAAGTTGAGATAGGAGGATCACTTAAGGCCAGGAGTTTGAGACCAGCCTGGGCAACATAGCAAGATCCTGTCTCTAAAAACTAAAAAAATTAGCCAGGCCATGGTGGCATGTGCCTGTAGCCCCAGCTAATCAGGAGGTTTGAGCCCAGGAGTTCAAGGTTGCAGTGAACTATGATCTCACCACTGCATTTCAGCACCAATGAGAGAGCAAGACCCTGTCTCTGAAAGCAGGTATAGGGTGTGTTATGGAAAAGCCTTATAATTAGAGCCTCTATTGCTCCCGGAGAGGCCTGTGTACAAGGAACAAATAGAAGCTTGTCCTTTGCTTTCTTTTTTGGCTGTGAAAAGAAAAAGGACTATTTGAAAAACAATCCACTACCCTGACTCTAACACTTGCTTTCACACCCCAGTGCAGGGTTGCGGCGTGGTGAAAGCCACATCAGTGTAGGGAGGTGCCCATTTGCCAGTGACTCGCTCAGACGGCTGAAACGACGTGACTTGGTGTTAGCCCACCTGCACCAACTGTGATGGCCGGGATGAGAGGGGGACGTCTGACCACCATAGTTGGTGCAAATGCTCGGATCATTCTGGCAGTGACTCTCCGTGACTCACAGCTGCAGACCCCAAACCAGGGTTATGGCAACACTTTCTAGGAAAAGCACCTGGTCCGTTATCTGTTATCTTTGCCTGCCTTTCTTTTGAATTTCTGAGTTTCTTGAAAAGGGCTGCTGAGAAGTTGGCAGTGATCAGGACCCTCCCCCACTGGCCTGTGGGGGCCCCAAGTCAGGGGATGTATTTGCGATGCTCCTGTGTTCTGGGACGCTAAGCCACAGTCGCCACCATCACTGGGAGAAGTGGTCTAAGTGTTTGTGTCCCCCCCCCCCAATTCACATCCTAACTGCCGAGGCCGTGGTGTGAGGAGGTACAGCCTCTGGGAGGTGATTGTGACACAAAGGCAGCACACCCACGGGTGGGATTGGTGTCCTTATAGTGAGGCCAGAGACAGACCCTGGCCCTTCCACGCTGTGACCCAGGACACTGTGAGACAGGCCTTCCAAGACCACACATCTGCCAGCACCTTGACCTTGGACTCCTGGGCCTCCCGAATGAGGAGGAATACATTTCTGTCACTCGTCAGCGCTGCTGTGTTTTGTGACAGGAGTGGGAGCTGACTGAGATGCTGTAGAATTCATTGCTGCCCACATTTCCCAACTTAAAACAAGAATTGTTTCCCCGCATGAGTTTTTGGGTTAGAGATCTACGAGAAGCTCTCTCGTACAGTTCTTATTTGGGGTCCATCACCCTCTGCTGTCAGATGGCAGCCGGGGCTGTTGTGACCTGCAGGCTGGACTGGGTGGACGTCTGAGGCGGTTGGTCCCCAGGTGAGTGTGTAGAGCTTCCTGACGGCCGGGAGCTCTGCTGGGGCTGCCTTGACTCCCACCCCAGAAGGACGGTTTGGGGCTGTTGACTTACGCAGCTGTCCCAGAACGAGTGCTTCCAGCAAACCACATAAAACTACACACCTTTTCCTGACCGGACGCTACACACGTGTCACTTCACGTTGGTCGTAATCTGTCACACACTCAGCCAGAGCCAAAAGGGAGAGCAGAGACCCCACCTCGCAGCAGGAGAAGCAGCAGCATTTGGTGTCATTTTGCTCACAGCCCCATCAGTATGGTGTTACCTTTGTCCCTCAAGCAGGATGATTCTGAGTGAGCAAGTTGGCAGTGGCATGTGGGGCTATGGGCTTCTGCTGCCTGCTTGGACAGAACAGAACGTGACCGTTAGAGAAATTCTGCTCCAAGACCTTATCCATTACAAGCAACTCAGAAGTACCTTAGCTCGGATCTCGCCCCAGCTCAGGGCTGTCGATGTCAGTCTCTTTGCAAAGAGCAGGGACTGAGGCTCAGAAGGTCGATCACGTGCCCGGGGTCCACGATGCCCGGTCTCCCTTCTCTGGGAACTGTCATCTCTGCGCTGTTGAAATGTTTGCACAGTTTGGATTCTTCACGTTCCTCACACGTGGCCAACTGCTACACGGAGGCTGCACACAGAGTGGCACACCAGGGCACCAGCGGCCAGAGGTCGGCACTGTGAGCGGCGGGGACGGCCACGGGGACTGTCTTGCTGGCAGGGGCTGGACCTTCCTGTGACACAGGTGTCAGTGGAGGT